TGAGAAAATGCTATATTATTTAAATGGATAAGCATTTTTGTTTTATTTATTTTGGATCGTTGGTAAATATGATATAAACGATTATTTATGTTATTTACTTTTAAGCGTATCATGTTTTGTTATACTTTGCAGTTAATTACTGTTCCTAACGCACTCGTTGTATTCCTAATAAGTTCATTGCTAATTTCCTAACACTATGGCTTGTCAATCCGGGATTCGAGGTTTGTCTTTTTTCTCATATTTTATTATATATTTGAGCTGTGCCTTAATTTTTGTTTTCAGCAGTGTTAGTTCTTATCTTATCCAACTTAATATTTGAAGTTTTATAGAATTTTTAAGGCGAATTATAATTGAAATTGTGAGACTTGTCAGTAATAAAATTTTCCACTTGACGAAATGCTGTTCTGGTCAGCTATTATTTTTCTTTTTCAGCAAGCGACAAATTGCTGAGGTTTTTCAATGAATGCAAATCGGGGAAGATAAGACTTGCGAAAATCGTCGTTAAAAATGGTATCAATTTTTGGTGGATTTGTTTTTTTTTTCGCAAAGAATAGAACTTGAAATAATACCGACCACGTGACTAACCGTACAACTGAAGTAGTCATGGAGATCACATATAAACTACAACTGATCTGCAGTCGGATCTTGCAACATTAGCAGCATCACTTTAAATGAAAATACAAGCATTCTCAGATAAGATGGTTGAAGGACCTTTTTGAAATTTCTCATAAACATTGAATTGTTAATAAGAAGAATTTTCCGTGCTAGTTTACTTCTTTATTTTATTTTATTTTTTCACTTTGTTATCTGTTGTGTTGTGGAAAATGCTGAATGCAATTTTTGCAAATAATTTATTTCAGAAGAATTGTGTGTTAATTTCCAAGGTAAAGGTACGGATGATTGGCGTGCCGACTTCAAACGTCATTTACCGGATTGCCTTGATGCATTTGAACCATGCTACATTTTGTTTCGTATCGATGAACCATACGGTTGGATTCTAATGAGGTTTGTTTTCATTAAAAACAGTCATATTTAACTATCATATTTAACTTGCATCATATTTTAGTTATCATATTTAACTTGCACACGATTTAAAGAAGACGATTTATAAAGGTGAATCGTGTGATATTTAATAGAGTCGTGATATTTTTGGAAGCTTTCAACTGTTTTACTCTTTTTTGAATGTCCTCAAAAAATTTAGCAAGAATCATAAAGCGAGATTGATAAGACGTGTACTATTAGTAGATTATATTTCCATATAATACGATTATCATTGGAGTTTTAAAAAACTTATGATTGTAAATTTATTACAGTTTTGCTGATGATCGTGCTCCCGTTCGTGAGAAAATGGTTTTTGCTGCGACATGGGCTACGTTTAAATCAGAATTCGGACAATCCAATATCAAGTATTAAATTTGACTTTTTACGTATTCGATATTCAGTAAGGTTGTAAATTGTTAAACCCTCTCCAATTGTTCTGTTGGTTATGGCTTTCCGTATCACCTGACCGTCTGGATTTTTGGCCTTGTGCATTTTCATGAATTCATGTAGTCGGACATGATTGAATATCATCTGCCGAAAGACATATTGTAGTACCGATCATTCATCATATTGCTTTATTTCGTAAGGCGGTCGATAACTGTCTTTTCTCTGCATTTTTTTTTTGTTGAAAATTGCAGATATGAATACCATGTGACAGATAAGAAAGAAATGACATTGGAAGCATTTGAAAAATGGCTTTCAAGTAAGGAAGATCCCGGACCTATGTCAGAGCTTGAAAAAGAATTTTATAGTGCGCATCAGCAGCTTAAAGTTGTTGCACCGTCAGTTGTTGCAGCACAAACTGTCAGAGGCTGGTTGTAATACTTTTAACCTTTACTTTTAGGACTGTTCAACCATTTTTGTATCTTTCGGATGAAAAGAATTATTACCTGAAAGAATAGTATTTACTGAAATTTAAAGTATTATTCGAATTCTGCCTTGAGAATATTACCTCCAAGAATTTTAAATTTTTTTGAAGGGTTGAACGTTCTTTTGCAGGTGTTTTCTTTCCAGTGGATCAGGATGCTGAAGAAGAATTACGAAAGTTAGCTAGTCACGCAGTCAATTATGTACAGCTATCTGTTGATACATTGAATGAAGCAATCAAACTGGAACGTTCAAAAGCGTCCGTCACTCCCGAACAATTGAATAAGGTAATTTATTTTATTTTTCTGTAACAATCTAATTCTTATTCTTCTTGTTCTCAACTTCAGTGGCAAGTAATTTTTTCATTCACAAAGCAACCGACACTTTAGGTTTGTAATCTTACCGAAAATCATAAGCTTTCCTTTAATATCCTCCAATTTTATTGTTTATTCCGTAACGTTTCATGGTCTGAATTAGTCCATTAATTTACACTTTTTAGTTTTTTTCCCGTAATTACCAATAAATTAAGGATGTAGTGAGTGAAGCGAGAATGTATCTATTTACGAGTCATAATCATGCTAATGTTTGAAGTGTCTCCATATTTTACGCTTGTTAACGTAGTTTACTTTTTCAGGTAATACCTCGAGACAAGCCACGATACAATTTCTATCGTTTCTCTCATAAATATAACAATGAAGACTACGATAGTTTATGTAAGCATTCTGTAAAGCGATTCCAAATATTCTGAAGATTTTTTTGTTTCCTTTCTGAATTTATTTTGAACTAGTTTTAAACTTAAAATTCATTTTGAGTATTGAATCTCAAAAAGTTTCATAACACTTTTGTAAATAGCTCTTTTTTACATTGGTTGATATACGCAATCGATATATGTTTCTTTTTTCTATTACAGTTTTCATCTATTCGTTACCTTCTTCTGGATGTACGATCAAAGAAAAAATGCTTTATTCAAGCTGCAAACAGCCATTTTTACAAGCCGCTTTGTCAGCTGCAAATCTTTCCCCGGATAAGAAGGTTTCAGTTTGAAATTTTAATAGGAAAAGAACTGGCACTAAATGGCAAGGTAATGAATAACTAAGAAAGAATGACAGAGTAAATAGTGATAAATAATAAGTTTTCAATTAAGATGTGTCTCTATGCAGTTACACTGGAATCTGAATGAGTAAATGTCGACGATTGTGATACTTTATTTGCTAGATATTTGTTAGCTATTCTGCTGATGAAAATTAGAAGAATATTGTAATTCCTCCTTTTAGATAGAAATCGACAGTAAAGAATTGTTATCATCGGATATCCTCCTCGATTACGCTCACCCAGCTCCACAAATTAGAGAAAAAAGTTTTGCAAAACCACCGAGACCATCACAAAGAGGAACACGACGTGTTACTAAAGCAGTCGGTTAATATTTTTGCCTTATTATCTTGCTTCATTTGTGTGCTGTAACAAGTCTTATCTGCAACTGTTATTTTCTGGTGCTTACTACAAAACCATAATATAGTTTTTCTTTTGCATCACAAATACTACGTTGGCAATGCACTGGTCAAAAATGGAAAAAAATAAAACATAACAGCATGAGAAAATGTTATTGTTTTCAAAAAATTATCCTCAATTTCATATATAAGAAGTGGAAGTGCAGTAGAGTTGCTTCAAATATATTCAATTTCTGTTAGGATATTTGGTTTTAAATACCTAGTAAATAAGTCATAATATTGTATATAACATTGTGTTTAATGTTTTTTTGCGTGTCGTATTTCAGCTAAAATGTAATAGATAATGAAAGGCTCGAAGACCGCTACATGCAAAAAGTGGTCATCAAGCCTGCTTGGGCTTTCATTGTGATTTCGATATTGTGAGGTCTGCCCACATGTAAAGTGCTTATAGCCTAGACTGTACTTTCTGGGTATATATTTGCCTATCTCGGTTCAGTTGTGATCTGACATCACTATCGCGTATGCGTATCGTATTGCAGAGGATGGAAATGGGGTGAAAAAGTAAGTCATCTTATCTGTAGAAAAACAACATAAATAATGTTGAAGGGTTAAATATTACTGTGGTTATAGATATTATGTAAAGGAAGGATTTTATACTCTGTCTAAGGTCATCGAACAGTTTAATGAGTTTTTTTACCGGTTATATTTCCTACTTGTTTTAGTGAACGTAGTATTAGTACATTATCATATTTTTTATCATTGGTAGATTTTCATTCCCTTTTCTTTCTAAGGGGTATTTTTTTTAGTGTATTTTAACAAACCCATACCACGATAAGCCACTGTATTTGCTTCATTTGGTATTTAATATTTCTCTGTGATAGTTTCTAGTTATTTATACTGCTTAAAATGTAATTTTCTTAATTAGACTGCATTATAAAATGTTCTACTTAATCATCTGGAAAAAATAAAAGTTTTGCGAAATTTAAAGATGTTGCAGTATGATAGAAGCCTTCATATGAATAACACTTTCTGATGTTGAAGCACCGAATAATTCCCTTTATGAACTTAAATTCATTCTCTTCAATTTGCTTACTTGACGATAAACGCTATTGCGTCACTTACAAAGGATGTAATTTCAATATTTTGTTAAATTTGCACAATGAATAATTGATAGGTCACATAATTTTTTAAAATTTATGTAGAAATTGAATAACAGGCTCGGAAATTTTATTTGTCAACAATTTGTAGCTGGATTTATGAATTCGATGAATTTTTGCGTAAAATAAAATAACAGAATATTTGAAGCCTCTTTATCTGTTAATGTACAGCATGAAAATTTTCACCTTCGCAAATATATATCCCAAATTGAGTGAAATTTGATAACAAATAACGCTGAAGGAGCTAAGAGCAGATTTAAATAATGAAGAAGGAAGCATGATGAAGGTCGTAAGGTCATACCGATTAATTTACATTATTGACTTACATTACTATCACTTAATGATTGATTTCATTGAAATAACAGCAAAATGACAGTTTAGCAGTCAATGATAATGATAATGAATGTAAGAAGCAAACAATTCTCCATTAAGAATTTGTCGAAAAATTGCAATTTTATGTGGAAGGATGGTGGTAAATTCCTTATATTCAATGAACGGTAGCGATATCTGTCGTTGTCGTATCGGTTACAGTTTTCTTTTTATAATATTTTGTTGTTACATGTCTGAAATACAAAAAATAAATCACTTTTCTCATTTAACAATTAAAAGGTAGGATATTGGATACGAAGGTGATCATTAGCGATCCTCAATCAATTCTGCTAAAAGGTGTTAATTAAATTAAGCATTCTTAGTTGTTGTTTCTAAAATTAAAATTTCTCTTTTAGTAGATAATAACGAAATTTAAGTTCAAAATAATTTATTGTAAAATAAATTAATAAAAATAATTTACCTGGAAATGATACCAGGTTCAAGTGGTGTTTCAACAACGCGCTTTTCTTCTTCTTTAAGCAATGTACTTTCACTATTTGGATTAAGACTTGTCACAATTTCACGCTTATACGTTACAGGTTGACCATTCTTATCCACATAATTACCTTCCAAACTTGCTTCAGTATTTGCTATTGTACCTCGTGGTAATACCTATAATAAATAACTCATTAAATTAGTGTAATCTTTTGTGAATTAATTAATTATGTTGTATTAAATAATATAGTGATTTAAAATTTAAAAAAATTTTCAGTTCCTAAAATACTTCAAAAATTATTTATTTTTTTTAGTTAATTATTCTATAGCATTTATCGATAATTAAACAATTATTTATTATATAAAATATAGACAAAGGAATTTCACATCGATTTAATATTTGAATATAATTTGTAAACATTAAAATATTTTATGAAAATTTAAAAAAAAAAGAGAGAGAAAATAAGAGAACTATAACATAGTACAGATATCGATCGGTTTTATTTCAAAAACAAACAATTTGAATTGTTCATTATCCTTTCGTAATATATAATAGCCTGAACAGAAAACGGAATAGAAGTATTTTTACAGTAGTTTAGGAAGTAATATTTACTGGTCGACGATGAAGCTGGAATATACTGTGTACGCCAATTAATTCCATAACTAGGTATAAATTTCAGGTTTTATGGTACCTTTATTACTGGTAAGTAAATTTTTCATTCTTAACATTCTTCTGCAAAAATATCTTTTATGCATTTTGTTACATCTATATATTTCTTTCTTGCAACCAAATCAGCTAAATATAGCTACGTTATTTCAGGTAGACTTAAATGAATTTTAAAATGATTAATGTTAGTATATTTCCAAAAAATATTTTGGAATATTTTGTTGATCTCAGCAGAACTATATCTTAATAATTTTTTAAAAAAAAAAAAGATAAAAAAGTTATGAGTGATAAAATAACCGGATACCTCAGACATTTCAGCACGTCGGTTGAAATCACCGCTACCTTGCGTAACGGATACAATCGAGGTATTATAAGGTGCAGAAGTTTCGTGATGTGTTTTTCGTTGATAGTTCGTTTTTTCGATAGCATACCTTTCGGCCGGATTCGATATCGGTAGTGCAGTTGCATTAATCGGTTGATTACCTATCACTCCTTCCGTCGAACGCTCATGTATTTTTTGTTCATAACGTGAATTGCTGCTGATAAAAAAAGTTAAACAATTAATATTTATTTTTACATGAAAATTTACAAAATCAAATTAGATAATATAATTACAGATTAAAAAAAATTACCATATACGCTTTGTTTTTGACTTTAAATAAATTAATTCATTAATTTAAATTTTAGTAGAATTTTGTACCTTTGTGAATGCCAGGTGGATGAATCTTGCTGAGTACCAGATGATACCGCATGTAGTGGTCCAGCAGGAACAGGAGCATAATTTAAATGAGTACTTTGTGTAGTTGGTATTCTACGCTCTGGCGTATATTGTTGTTGTTGTTGTTGTTGATTGCTTGAATAGGAAGTATGATATTGTGTACGATCTCGTTGTATATTTTCTGGACCATTATCATTATTACCCATATATGTTGTATAATGCGTTTGTGATACGAAATTGTCGTAATCACGAGTTGGTCTATTTTTTCGTTGATTATCACCATAATCTGCATAATCATAAGTGCTGCTACTATATCCTCCGCCTTCACGATTCTGTCGATCAGCTTCATTTTGCCATAAAGTATGAGTTTGATTAGCCCTATTATACCAGTATGGCGGCTGTTGTGGTGGAATCTACAAAAATATTCATTTTAACTAATAAATGCATTTTTCGATTAAAAATTCTAATTATATAATTTCTATTAAAAATTCCACTTATATAATTTTTATATTAGAAATTGTCGTAAATATATTAATTACCTATTTCGCAAATCAAAATTATTATCGTAGTATATTTGTACGAAAATTTAAAACTATAATTAATTTCATTCTTTTTATTTATTTATGCAACAAATATTCCATTTGTTTTAACATACCTTTGAAGAAGGTGGCATTTGTATAAGTGCATCAGTATTTCTTGCCTTATCTTCCCAAATATTACGCCGATCACTAACAATACGTGACCAGGTTGGTTCATAATCATATGTCTAAAAAACTTCTATTATTGAAGTTTTTTTTTCTTACATAAAATTAATTACTTGTTCAGTGATAATATCTTATTATATTCTCTTTCTGTTTATTATATTAATCTAATTCTTATTAAGCAAAACGTTTTTGTCTTCTTTTTTTTTAAAATTATAATTAAAACAAAAAGAAAGAAAAAAGTTATTGTTAAAGAGAGTTTGAAAACTTTTCGTATAAATTTCCAAAATTAATATTTAACTTTTATACCTATCAAATTTTTTGAAAAAATTTTAGTTTATAAAAAATAAAAAATTGTAAAAAAAGAAACAAAGAAATGAAAAGAAAATTAATTAACACAACTAAGTAGTCATCGTAAGGTATTTTATTTGAAGTTAAATATCAGTTTGCACAGCAATAACAACAAAAAAATGGATTAGAAATTTCTATTAACTGATAAAGGAATGATTAAGCGTAATTGGTTAAAGGTATGGTAAGGTATGCGTAATGATAATTTAGATGAAGATGGAAAAAGGATGGATTTGGAGAATGGAATGATGGGAGAGGATAAAAGCAGAAATGGAAGTAGGAAGAATGGAACAAATACAGGACCTGGGAGCGGGCAAAGCGCGGGTCCGACCTGTTCTTCCAATGATTATGTTTTTCGAAAGATCTTGATTGCCATTCCGGGGTCACCGACCTCTTTTGAGCAATCAGCGCTTTATCGTTCAACAGTGTCTCAATTGTCACCTCTTTCTCGACGTTTTCATTTGCCCATTCGTATCTTTCTGTTGGTGCTGTACTTTGTGATCGGATCCATGTTTGTTCTGTCTTTCCATATGGCGTACTACTTCCACCGATACCAGTACCGGTACGTTTACCAGTAGTACCACTTGATGCATAATTGGTAACTGTTTGTGATGTATAACCAGCAAGATCTGTTGATGGTGAAAGTGTTGTTCCATGGTAAGATGGTGAAATAGAGTATAAATCACGTGTCCCGGGTGCATTACTTCTCCTGTATAAAGAATTATCTGTTTTTGCTGATAAACTAAATGTTACTGGTTTAGCTATTTCTTCCTGACGATGAACGGTACGATGTTGACGGGTAAAACCAGTAGTTGGTCCAAATGATGTACCAAAACAATGATCAGGTTGCTCATTTTTGGCAAGATGTTGATTGGATCGCGTATCTCCAACTAGAACATCAGCAGAAACCTGATCAACATTAGGTGCCACTTCGATATTCATTTCATCACGCTTCAATAAAGCATGATCAAATTTAGAGTGTAAACGACGCTGTTCCGGTCCATGACCATGATATGGACCATCTGTTCCTATTGCACCTTTCCGGAAATCCATGCCGCCCATCTCATATCCCGGAGTTATCTTATGCTCATCATATCTTCGTGGAGTGTCTCCATAGTAGACATAAGATGATGATTCCTGTGGTATGCGCGATCTGTCTACATAATCTAATCCACCTAATTCGTATCCTCGTTTCGTTGATCTGCAATACCATCTGCTATCACCAAATTCGCAGAAATTTTCTTTCATGTTTTACATTCAATTTTTTTTTTTAAATCAGTTTTTATATTACTTTTATAGTTGAATTTTTGAAATGCTTCAAAGCTATAATGTAATTAGTTCTTTATGAAACCTACACTTACTAATTATTACCATAAAATTAACAATACACCTTTCTTCATTTCCCTTTTTTGAACGTTGTAAAGTGGAATATTGAGGTGCGTAATAGGGTTGTGCAGCAGAAGGTGTTGCTGAACGAGCTCGTTCACTTCGACTACGTGCCGCATGCGCCCAATATGGTTCCTAAAAAATTGATAAATTTTTAACAATTTAAATGAATTCTGGATAGCTAAATGTAACCTTCTAAATACTAAATAAATGGATAATTATTTCAAAGAAATATATAGATATAATTATTTAAATAATATTGTTGTTTACAACAACATTTCTTAAAATTAATTTACACTGTTATATTATTGTCAAAAAAAAAGCCAAATTGAAATAATTTACTAATATTAATTAAACCTGTGGTGGTGGAATATGTGGAGTTTCCGCTTGAGTTATAAGCTCATTAAAATGTTGGCCAAATGTATCATTTTCACCAGCTCTTATTACTTTTAATGTTTCTGATATTTCTGGATTAAAATGTCGATCACTAGCGCCAAGCGCATGATCCGGTCCTGCACCAACTTGCTGCTTATATTGCTCTTCTGCAGCTTCACTAAAATATCCATCAAATTAGAATTATACTAATAAAATTACATAATTATTGCTGATATTATAAAAAAGCTTATGTTTTACGAAAAATTTTAACAATTAATAATAATAGTAATTATAACGATAATAATGATAATAATTGGATAACGATATTTTGGATGATATTTTCAACAAATTATTTATAATATAATACTTACTTTTTTTTTTCTCGTTTTTTTTTTATTTTTTAAATAATTAGTAAAACTAATTGAAATAAACAAAGTAAAGCTATTCATTAAATCTTTTTTTTATTATCTCATACCTCTACATCATTTAAAACCAAATGACTAAAAATTTTTTCGACGAACATTGAAAAATTTTTACAACAGCTGTTTTACGAGGATATCTTTCGAATAGCTCTCACCTTCTTATATCATTCATATTTGTGGAACAATGAGAAGTTAAAAGTATTTTACTTTTAGTAAAATTTGTTTTTAAAAAAAATTAGCAAATGCTTTTTTTACCCTTTACCCTTTCTTTTAGTTTCAGAATAAACAACAATGAAATACACTAAAGTACGCTTATTTTAAGTAAACAACCAGCAAATATCTAAAAATATTTTTGCAATAATCTCATACAATTTTTTTTTTCACAGATGTAAAATGATGATAACGTTAAATGATAGTATTATCACTACGAGATAACCATTAACATTACGAGATAATGATACTATTTTATAGTGCAATCATTAAAACTTGCAACAACAAAATAAAATTATCATAGCTTTTATGATCTATATTTAATGTTATTCAATTTAAATTAGATTTAAATCAATAATTTAAATTAAACAATAATTAATAGTAATTTAAGTTAGTAATACTGAATGCATTAGCATAATAACAGTACTCAATGATTGATGAACGAATTCATCAAAAGAAATTGTTGAATTTCTTCTTGTTTAAAGGAGAGAAAGAGAGAGAGGGAGAGAGAGGAATAAAAATTAGAAAAAATAGAAATAATAAGATAACAAAATATCTTAATAGAAATAAAAATAATTTAAAAAATTTTTAACTTAAAATTTAAAACTTAAAATTGTAAAAATTTTTAGAAAGACAAATTTTATGCATCAGATTATTTCTAATAATTTATTTGTAAAAAAATTGAAATCAATTATATTCACACATGTATATCATATATCTTTCATGACGAAGATTTGTTTCGAAAAATCTGTTTAGACATCAGTTTAAAACAAAGAAAAGATAAGGAAAAAAAATTTATAAATTTCTTCCTTTTCTTTTTCCATGATATGATAAATGATAAGTGATAAGTTGTAATTTTTTAATTCTAATTCGTTGTTTTCTGATATAAATACATCAATTTGTTATAATATTACTAAATCAATGATTCATCCGTAAAATGAACAGATTTGACAGGTAACACAGACTTATGTTTTAGTCAAATATATTTTTCAACATATTCAATTACCATACAATTTATTCTTCTCCCTATGTTGCAAAAAGTTTAAACAATTAAGTTTAATAAGAATTGTCATTTCAGATCATAAAAATGTTTACATTATTTATTTCAGTAATATTTAAAAAAAAAATTAAAAAAATTTGAAGAAAAGAAGAGATAATTAATTATTCATAAAATAATACTTAAAAAAAGAAAAAGTGATATAAAAAAGGGAATTAAAAAGGAATTGAAAAAGAATTAAAAAAGAATTAGAAAAGAGTTAAAAGAGAATTAAAAAGGAATTGAAAAGGAATTAAAAAGAAATTGAAAAGGAATTAAAAAGGAATTGAAAAGGAATTAAAAAAGAATTATAAAGAAAAGAATTAGCTAATAATATTTAAAAGAAAAAGAATTAACCATTCATAAAATTCCCTTCATCCATCGTTATAACATAAAAAACATGAAATTTGGCAAATTCAAAACTATCTGAAGTTTCAATAATATACCTTTCTTATTGTTTAAAAAAAAAAAGGTAATTAAGCTTGTTCATTTCAAATTCGAAAGTATAAATTCATGATCCAATCTATTTGTTAAATAAAACTTACTTGGCAAAACTTCCTATCACATAATAAAATTTACTTGATAAGACTTCTTATCACATATGTTTGAATGAAGATAATAATAAATTATTATCATTATTTTTATAAAATTAATGATAAATTTCATATCATCAATTATTATTATAATACTGATTAATTCATTGAATTATAATAATGGAATAAAAATTTTTCTTATCAATTAAATTTAGCAATATAAGATAATGAATAAGTGAGTGATAAGATTTGATAAAAAAAAAGATAATGCTTACCGTGAATAAAGTGGCATTGGCGTATTATACTGTATATTAGATGGCATAATTCTTTCCTTTTTTTTCTCAACAAGAAATTGAAGCTACGAAGAAATTAAATTCTAAAAAGAGGTCGAAAACTCTGCTGCTATGATAACAGTAAATGAAGAAAGTTTGAGATGATGTAGAAAGCTGCTGTTACTACTTCTTCTTGAAGCTGTTGCTATTGCTGCTGCTGTTAGTGTTGTTGTTGTTGTTAGCACTGTTGGTAATATTGATGTTGCTATATAACTTAAGCATTCGATCAGGTTGAATTGGTTTGATGATGGTGATAGTGTATGAAAAGGATTTTTTTTTTTTTTTTTGCCGGATGAACTGATGTGGAAAGGAGAAATGGTGAGGAAGTGGAAGATCGGATCGGATCATCATTGCATGCGTATGCTATACTTTTCTGAATCACACTTTCTCTCTCTCTCTCTCTCTCTCTCTATCACATCATATCATTATATCATATCCGGAGTTTGGAATGATTTATACATTCAACAAAATTCATCATTTCATTCGAATTTTTTAATAGGTGGCGAAAAAAATCTTTCAGATATGATATTATTCATCATTGATTATATAAAAGAAAAAAATGATGAAAAAATGTACAAAATTGCAATTGAATTGAATTTAATTCATAAAATTTTATTTGATATAAATTTATTAAATTTAAATTAAAAATGATAATATCATTTTATTTTGATACATTAAAAAGTTTGTGTAGAAATTTCAAAATATTCGAAAGGTAATAGAAATTATTCCGAGAAAATTATATTGATTTTCTTCAGATGAAATTATTTCATCGTTTATTTATTTGAAATTTTTAGTCTATGATATCAAAAAAAAAAAACATTTTTACCGGTTTTTCTTTATTATGTGATCCGAAAATTTTAGTAAAGAGAATTTGAATTAAATTAAGTTGATTTAAAATATTTCATAACATAGTTCCATCCTTTCTCTTTTTCTTCACTATTGTTTTCACGTAATGGTAAATTAGTCTTTCTCGATAATTTGTTGACAGCTTTTGTATATCCTATAAATGATGCATATTTTTAAAATATCAATTTGGCTAGTAGTAACAACAATGCATCCCAACACCATAAATGATAAATCTTATAGTATATCCTATAAATGATACACATTCTTAAAATATCTACTTGGCTATAATTAGTGAATTAATTAGATCGGTTGGATTTAAGTAATAGCAATAATACATCCTAAGACTATAAATGATAAAATCTTAATTTGTTTGCAAAAACAAATAAAAATTAAGCAATTTTTCAAATTTATCAGTTTGCGCTAATTTCTAAAAATTTCTAAAATATTATTTTAAAAATTTATTCGTTAAATAAAGCATATCACATTTTATTGACTATCAAAATGCATATTTGTCCTAAAATATATTTTTAGTTTTAAGAAGTATATTGCAAATTCCTTATGCTTCATAAACATTTAACATTGATGAAAATTTAAAAGAGAAATATTTCAAGAATGTGATGATACGTGATAACATTTATTGAAACATAACAGATATGTGACTGAATTTAGACTGAATTTTATAATTGCTAATTCTACTATTGTTACTTTTATTTGACTTAAATAATTTCAATTAATCTTTAAATTTTCTCAAAATAATTTCATCAAATGCATCATCATCAATTATTTTTGCTGTATGATATCATGACATTCTTCCAATTCTATGAAAACTGGAAGAATGTTAAACATTTAGGAAGGTGATTATTAACAAAAGCATACCTTTAACAATTACCTGAAAATATTGATTAACTTGTTTAAAATATTGATTAAAAAATATGATTAAAATATTGAAAAAATATGATTAAAATATTTATTGAATATTGATTAAAATATATCAAATGTTATTATCTTTTAAATTTCATTAATATTACTGTCGAATTTTCATTGCAACGATGAAATTGATTGTTTATCGATTTCAGGATGATTCTACTTCAAGCTTATTGATTTTAATTTTTGCTTTTTAAAAATTACAATTTACGAATGTTATTCACTTTATTTTATGTGATTACTAATTAATAGCGCATGATATGTAACAGTATATTATGCGTTTGAATCAGTTTACTTTTGAAATTTTTAATTATTACTAAAATTCAAACATGACTTGAACAAATTTATGATGGGATAGCTACTAATATTTAAAGTCTCTATGATATAGTTAGTCAGGTTTAACAGTACTGCTAACCAATTTATCATTGTTTGTTATCATATTGATTATATCTGTTGCAATTAAAATATTTTTTCGATTCATTTATGCTTATTTGTATATCTTATCATTCTTCAAATTGTATTCATACAAACTTTTGCAAAAGCATTGTTTTTTTAAATTGAAGAATTGCACCATATCACATCTTTACAACTGTTCATTGATAGATTTGAATTTATAATATCAATTTATTGTTTCATACAACTTCTGATAATTAGCATACGTTTTTAGATTTTATTCAATTAAGTTTGAATAATGAAACTTATTCAAAGTGAAACAATTGAATTAAATTACATATTGTTTATTTATTTCTCAATTCTTTCATAGTGTAAGCAATTAATTTTGAGCAAATTATTGAACAGTTTTTTATCGGTAAGTAATATTATTCGATAAACAAACTATTAGAGCCTTATATGTAACCGTATCGTCACGAGAATAATCAAAATTTGATCAAACTACTTATTACAACAATGTTCACACCCATAGCTATTAATAACTTTCACAACTCATTATTGGTTAATAAGAGATAAAAAATTAGAACAACAATAGGATCGAATTACTGTGAGATAATAGCATCAAAATTATCATTGATAATCGGTTGAAATTTTATGATTAAACTGTATCATAATATATTCGGTAAATTCAATTGAAATGCAATACAAGCATTTCTTGTTTCTTAGCTCTAAAATAATATAAATTGATCTGGCGAAATTATTTTTATGCAAAGCGGAATCGTCCCGTTGTGATATAAAGTCTTCGTAGCGCTTGCGCATCGTTGTAGGAGTGCGGTGTACGTGCAGCATGTGGAATAAAGACACCTTCACCATACATAAAATGTCGATTAAATGCATGATCCTAAAATTAAAAAAATATTTTAATGCAATGATGATTTGCAAATAACAAATTGATTAATCAAATGATTGATTAACTTGATCAGACGTGACAAATTACAAATAGCAATTGATTGATTAACTTGATTTGATTAACCACTGATAATTAAACGAAGTTTTCATCAAAACATCAATATATTCATAAATGCATATATATATATATATAACTTTTCAAATTACAAAATAAAAAATTTATACAAATTAAATTTAAATTGAAATTTTTTTCATACCTGAGGATATCTCCAATCATATGAAGTGTAAGCATATTGCTGTGCAAAATCATCCGCTTTAAGCCTTGCTGATACATATCGATCCAAATATTTTTGTGATCCAGCAATGTATGATTTCAATGGTTCCATTCGCTAAGTAATTAAATAACTAAATAATTAAATAGTCGAAGTTTAATATAATTTGTGACTATTTTTTTTTTCACTAAATTTTGCTAATTTTCAATTCCTTAATTAAAATTAATTTTTTTAATTGAAATGAACAAAATTTTAAAATACTAAGAAAAGTTTTGTTTACATACTTGATTGAAAAATATCCTCTTTGTTTGAAATGTATAGTATGGAACATAAGAACTATACGGCATTGGTACAAATGTTGGTACACGAAGTGGTTTGGCTATAGTTTCATGAGTATCCTGTAATTAATCAATTAAATGTACTATTCAAGAAAAGTTTACTATTCATGAGTATTCTTTAATTAATCAATTAAATGTACTATTCAAGAAAAGTTTACTATTCATGAGTATCCTGTAGTTAATCAATTAATTTTACTAATCAAGAAAAGTTTACTATTCATGAGTATCCTGTAGTTAATCAATTAATTTTACTATTCAAGAAAAGTTTACTATTCATGAGTATCCTGTAATTAATCAAATTTTAATTGAAAAATTTATTTCAATAAGAAATAACAGAATACATATATATTATTCAACAGATGAATTATGTATAGTTAATAGTGTACAAAATATAAATGTTATTATCATCGATTTCTCAAAAACTTTGATAAGAATTTTTGAAATAAATTTTACAGAATTTAAAACAAGTTTAGTTCTTTTTTAATATTGTTGTTTAGCTTATTTCAATTTAAAAAAAATTTTGAAATTGTAAATTTGTAAAACTTACAATCCATCGTGCTTTACTATAGGAATTATTATACCAATTGTAAATTTTTGGTTGATAAATTGGTGCAGTACTGATAAAACGCTCTGCTTGACGATAATGTTGTGGTAGTGCTAAAGATGGTGCAAGTGATGATATCGATGTCGATCGACGAATTGGAAAATCATGTTCCGCTTCCTTCAAATTTTAAATTAAATTTTCAAATATTGAACATAAAAATATAGTCCATCATCATGTGAAGGATATGTGAAGGATAATTTTTATTGTTCTTCTTACACTTTGATTTACCTTAAGAAAGTTAAATTTCAATATTGTTTAAAAATCAATGATAAGAAATATATCCGTGATATGATCTTTCAAATTTATATATACTAAACTGATTAATTGCTTAATATATACTAAACTGATTAATTGCTTAATTAAATATACTAAATAAGATGATAATATGATTTTCGGCAAACAATAATTATTATTAAACAAAAGAAAATTATAATTTTGAAAAATTTAAAAAAAATTAAAATTTTTAATCTTTTCATTAATTGGAAAATGATTTTTCGTATTCTCTTTATTCATCTCTTCTAATTTTTTCTTTTGGTCAATTAAAATTAAAACAATAAAAAAATTTACTTTAATATAAGTAAGATTGGTATAGGAGGCTGATCGTGCAAGTTGTTTTGATTTACTCCAAACATTCGACATATAATTTCGAAATGTGCTTTCAGGACGAGCTAAATCAACATATCGCCTGAATAGTATATTATATAATT